TTGCTCAATGGGAAAAGCAAAAAACGTTCAGATTTATTGCTTGGAGAGTTCAGTTTGTCTCTTGGGCCTGGTTGATGCAGTTTCCTCCAAGTTGCAGAGCATTTTGTTTTAAAAGAAGAATTTTTGACAGCAGCGTTTTGCCTTGCATTTACGCAGGGTTTTATAGTTTACAAAGAGGTTCACATAGTAACAATAACAATCATCGCTACTATGTATTGAGTTCCTACGTGGGGGCGGGGCCCCCTGCTTAATGCTTAAAACCATTCTCCTTTTCTTGGGATGGGGAAGCAGAGGCTCAGAGAAGTTAAGGGGCTTGCTTAAGGCCACACAGCCTGGGGAAAGGGCAGGACAGAGCTGAACACAAGTTCATCTGGTTTCAAAGGCTGTGCTGTCTCCTGTCTGTCATTCTGCTTTTCTTGGCTTCCATCTGACCTAGTACACCCCTCACTACAGATAAATGAGTGAGAAAAAACAAAACAAAAACCAGAGGCTTGGGCAGAAAACAGAGGCTGGAATGAATATAAAAATAACCCGGTATGTTCGAGGGAATCCTTGAGTCCCCAAACAATATATTTTGGGCTAAGATGTACTAAGATGCAGGTGGTAGTGGGTCCAGCAAAGCATGAGCAGGGTGCTCACTTTCTAAGTTCTGATACTGAGTGATCCCAAACTACAGCCAGGGCTGGGTGTGGTGGCTCATATCTGTAAATCCCAGCACTTTTGGAGGGTAAGGTGGGAGGATTTCTTGAGCTCAGAAGTTTGAGACTGGCCTGGGCAACACAGACCCCATCTCTACAAAAAATTAGAACATGAGACAGGTGTGGTGGCACATGCCTATGGTCCCAGCTACCTGGGAGGCTGAGGCAGGAGGATCACAGTTTGAGGTTACAGTGAGCTAAGACTGGGCCACTGCACTATAGCCTAGGTGACAGAATGAGACCCTATCTCTTTTAAAAAATAAATCCAATAGCCAGTAACTATACATAACTATTTAAATTTAATTAAAATGAAATAAAATTTAAAATTCAGTTCCTTCACCACACTTGCCACCTTTTAAGTGTTCAAGATCCACATGCAGCCACCCTCCTGGACAGCATTGTGTTAAGCCACCAAGCAGCCTGCTCCGGTTTTACCCTGACTGTCCTAAAGGAGGAGAGCCTTTGGCACAGGTAATAGACACACCTGTTTCAAAATACGCCCCTCTGCAGTTAAGATACTTACAGATGCCACCCCAACAGTGGAGCCCCCGATGCTGCTCTGGAGCAGTTACAGCTCCAGGGATGCAAACAAAAGGAAGACGCCAAAGGAGTGGCCACCGAGGCCTGGCTGCTACTCAAAATGTGGCCCCAGGACCAGCAGCATCAGCATCTCCCGGGAGCTTGTTAGAAAAGTGGAACCTCGGGCTCCATGCCAGATCCACTGAATATGAACCTGTATTTTAACAAGATCCCCAGATGATTCCTGTGCACATTCAAGTTTGAGAAGCTCTGACTTAAGAGACAGGCCGAGCAGGAACAAAATACTGCTCCAAATATAGGAAACCAAACATATTTTCAGATCTAAAATACAGCATCACCTCCCCCCTTCACTGTCATGATTAAGTGTTAGTCATGGAGGGCTGAGCATCTCTGTGCCACGTGATCAATGACCACCAATGACTATCCTTCCAAAGACAGACCCTAGGGGACAGCTGGAGGGAGCTGGCCCATTCTCCATCTCCAGCACCTTCTCAAATCACAATGGGCTCACCCTCCCCAAAGCAAAGGAAACACAATCAAGGATCGCTTCTTGGATCTCAGGGATGCTGCCTTTAGAACATTTTCCTCTTTGGTTTTTTCTTCACACTGCATTTGGCCGGTCTGAACAAACAGACAATCACTTAAAGGGAGGCAGGGAGGCGCGTAGAAAAAGGTGGCGTCATCCCTTTCTCTGGGGCGTGATGTTCCACAGGTCTCAGTGCCTGGAGCCAGGTGTTGATGAGGCTTTCTGGGAAGGAACCAGCATCACGCCTGTCTATGAAGGAAACAGGTGCATGGGGTGGTTCCACGCTCAGGGAGAGTGAAGATGAAGCTTAAAAGGGCCTGGCAGCCACCTGCTGACCCCCAGCTGGGGAGGGGAGGCTGCTGCAGGGAAAGGTGCCGGGAGTCTGTGGCTTGCTAAGCTCTCTCCTACCTCTAGTGAGAATGACTCATCCTTTAATTCCTGTCTCCTCTTAGCCTACCTTGGGTCTTACTTATTTTTATCCCTGGAATGGAGTTAAGTTGCCAAAAGGATGATATTTTTCCACCTGCAAGAGCCCTGCTGGAGGATAAATTTTAAAATATTCGTTTTTTACAATTTCCTCCTAGCGATAAAGTAGAGGATAGGGATGCTGGGGAGAGGGGAGGGGGACAGTGACATGGGCCCAGCGGGGGACCCCGGGGCCGTGGGGAACTGCAAAGTGGCTTTGAGACAGACATTCTAGGAGCTGATTCTAAGGAAATAATTGGACAAGGGACAAAGGAGGAATGGTTAAGTGTGCTTTTCATAACTCTGTAATACTGAACAAATTCACAGCTAACTATAAACAGCCCTGCTGTTTTGCCTACTCAGCCTACAGATCCCTTATTTTGGTAACAAACCTCATTTTTTTTTTTTTTATTCAGAGAACAGCCAGTTGCCCATTGCATGGGGTCTTTGTGGATCTGTCAGTCATGATGCCTAGTCCTGCTCTTGGCTAAGGTGGACATGTGACCCAGGCCAGGCCAAAGGGAAAGGAGACACAGTAGGATCTAGAAACATCTGGATTCAGCTGTCCAGAAGGCAGGGCCTGTGGGAAGGCTGACCCTGATTCTTCCAGGATCACCGGCTAAATCCTCTTTCTTAAGAGCTGGCTGTTTATTCTTTCCTGAGATTCTATAAGCCAGTGGTTCTCAATCTGTGGGTCGCAAACCCTTTTTGACAATGAAAATACACTGTGGCATTGGGAAGGTTGAGAATCACTGCTATAAGTTATACCACCATATATCAATAAATTCTTTTTTTCTTAAATTGACAGAATTGGTTTCTATTATTTTATTTTATTTTTTGAGACAGAGTCTCACTCTGTTGCCCTGGGTGGACTGCCTTGGCGTCATCATAGCTCACAGCAACCTCAAACTCCTGGGCTCAGGAGATCCTCCTGCCTCAGCCTCCCAAGAACCTGGAACTACAGGCACCTGCCACAACACTTGGCTAGTTTTTCTATCCTTAGTAGAGATGGGGTCTCACTCTTGCTCATTCTGGTCTCAAACTCCTGAGCTCAGGCTATCTACCCAGATTAGCCTCCCAGAGGGCTAGAATTACAGGCATGAGCCATGGAGGCCAGCCTGGTTTCTATTATTTGTAATTAAGATCCCAAATGGAGGGTGGCGCCTGTGGCTCAGCAGATAGGGTGCCGGCCCATATACTGAGGGTGGTGGGTTCAAACCTGGCCCCAGCCAAACTGCAACAAAAAATAGGTGTTGGGGCAGGCGCCTATAGTCCCAGCTACTCGGGAGGCTGAGGCAAGAGAACTGCTTAAGACCAAAAGAGTTGGATGTTGCTGTAAGCTGTGATGCCACAGCACTCTACTGAGGGCGACAAAGTGAGACTCTGTCTCAAAAAAAAAAAAAAATCCCAAATGGACACAAACCAAAATGCCTAGCCATACGGCTTACATCAACAAGTGTGCTAAAGCGCAGGATGGAAGGCTGCGAAAGTGGGTACAACGATAAGTGTGTACTTGCCGACGTGGAAAGAGGTCCACAACATGCATGTAAGTGAGAAAGCGGGTTTTAAGAAAACAGTATGTGTGGTGTGATGCCATGTTTGCATAATACATTTTCTATATATTCATAGAAAAGGGCCTACAAGAAAATGTAACTGTTCTGGAAAGGAAGATGGCGGATGATTTTACCTTCACTTCCTGATCTTCCTACAATGTTTGCATAGGGAGTTTTCCTTTTTTAAAACTAAGTGCACGTAGGTCACAGGATTCCCACTTTCATGCTGTCCATCAAGAACTCAGCCACTTGTTTACACGATGGTTCCTGCCTTGGGGCTGCTTACCAACACCTCTGCTCCAGAACATTCTGGGGGTGTCTGAGTCTCCCAAACAAGGAGGAAGTGCTTCCCGTGCCCAGGGCCCCAGCAACATCATCCACTTACTCTCCCGGCCACCCTGTGAGGTGGAGGTTCTCCCTCTGCTGATAGAAAGTAAGAGCCCAGAGAGGTGAGGTGACCTGCCTGGGTTCACACAGCAAGGAGTCAAAGCCGGGTCAGCTGACCTGGACTAAAGTTTATGAACAGAGCCCAAACCTGGCAGCTGAGCACAAGGAAGGGCTCAACATTCCCCTGTGGTTTCAGCTGTGGGGACAAGCCGCAAACACGCTGGGGGTGTAGGGAGGGGCAGCTCTGCCTCAGTGCGGGGGCCCTGGAGAAGCAGGCAGTGGGCCCTGGAGGCCGGATGGGGGTCCACGCTGGGGAGGCACGGTCTTCTGCTCCTTTTTACCTCCTTGGTCTTGGCTTGACAGTCACCTGTCCAGAGAGATCCTCCTTGACCTCCTGAAGCAGGCCCTGGCCATTCCTGCCTCAGCGCCATTTGTCTCCTTTGTGGCATTTCCTACACGGTGCAGCCACTGCACTTAGCTGTCAGTTTACATAGGACCTGCCTCTCCCCACCCACTTCAGGCTTCTGTCTGTCCCCCTCTCAGCTGTGGCCCTCGCCTCCAGCCTGGTGTCTGGCCCACTGCAGGCACTTACCAAGTATCTGCTGACTGATGGAGCAGATGCGCACGCGGCTAGGTGGCCTGCGGACTGCAGGAGCCAGGCTCGGCTCTGCCTTTTCCTGGCTGTGTCACCAGAACACCAGTTGCTGTTCTTCACTGGGCTTCTTGCAAATCTCAACTTCAATATAAATACGAACTCCACCTGAAGGATGGGCCACATACTTCCTGGATATGTTAGGACCAATTTAAGGGAAGATATGTGGGTCAGTCCAAAAATTTTGACACAGACTGTGACCTGGTCTATTATTTCACTTTCAAGAAACACAGTTGACAGTGTCCTTTCTGCTTGGCTTATTGGTGTGGCTTCATTTGTTTCAAATTGTCTGCACAGATTTGACGTTTCTTGATTTTTGTGTATCCCAAAACTTTCCTAATGACCCACATAATAGAAGTTGAAATTATGTGCTAAGTCTTACCTTAAATCAACTGTGGGTAGATTATTCTTTCCGATGGTAACATTGCAATGATTTTCCCTGGAGTCACTGATATGCAATGAGCCCAATCATGTTTCTTATTCAATAAATTCTTTTATTCTAGTTCACAGATTTCTCCATTACAATAATGAAAATAGCACTAGTGATTTGTAACACGTAGGCCCAAATCAAAAGGGACCCCCTCCTCAAATTAAAAGGTAAATAACACATAGCTGGACATGGAGTAAATGTGGGGCAAAAGGCATTTAAAATATAGATAATGGGGTCAAGATTTGGTGGGTGTATTTATTAGGATAACACTGTTTTAGAAAGCACATGATTTTGAAAACTAAATAATTATGACAAAACTCAGTTGTAGAGAAAAGGCAAAATCAAGCAAAAACAAAACCCCCCCAAACAAAAGGAAGCAAATCAAATATGTGGGTAGATATGCAAACCTCCGGTCCTTTGGCCCTGGAATGGCAAGTTGAGTGGGCTTCATAAAATTCTCTGTAGAAGGAATGTCTGGGCCTATTGTGACCATGGCCCTTATCTGACACTGCTGCATCTCCAAGTCCAGACTCCTCACAGAGGAAAAGTTGCTTGTCTGACACATCTGCTCGGGGTCTACCCGAGATGGGACCTATGTTCCCAATCCCTTTGAACTGTGTGACAGTCCCAAATCCCCAAAAGACAAGGCATCCCTGTGGCGGCAGGGAGATGGGGTCACTGCCTACCCTGTGTCCTGCCAGAGCTGTCTGAGTGGTTCACAGGGAGCGGGTGGGCCTCAGTGTTGAACACCCAGTCTTCCAGGGAGAGCACGTCATCTTCAGAGAACAGAAGATAGAGATACCTGTACTCCAGGCAGGGCAGGGAAGCAAGACAGCCTGTCAGTATCCTGGGGAAGAAGGGTGGACCATGGGGATGCATTTCAGGGCCTCTGTGATGGGCCTGTAGCTAAAACAGGGAGACTTAGACCCCAAGACTGCTTGGAGGACTCCTGGGGAAGGACACTGCAGATGAAGAAGGCCTTGAGCTTTCAGGTCAGAGGGATCTGATTTTACCTGGCTCGTCCCCAGTCTGCACATGCAGCCCACTTCACCTGCCTGGCCCTATGTGTGAGCCCTGCCAGGACCTACGTTCTCCTTCTTTGCAGCGTGACTGCATGAGTCCCTCCAGGAGACTTTTCTGGCCCAGTGCGTGTTACAGCACTAACACGAACAGGATTTTTGACTCTGGAACCCCAGCATCCAGGCCATAGGGATTCCTCCCTTCCTCCCTCCCTTCCCTTCTTCTTTTACTGAAAGGAACAAACCATTCCAACCCATCCTAAAGGGTTAAAGCACAAAGGGCTTGCTTGGGGGAATAGCCAGGAAGTGGGGTAGCCAATTCCCACCCCAAGAAAGTGAGGGAGGGATGCAGCAGCAACACTGCTGGGCCCCGGGAGGGAAACTATCACCATGATCACTGTTCCCATTTTGCAGGTGAGGACACAGTTTCAGAGAACTTAGGTAAACAGCACTGTCACAAAGTTCATACTCAGCGGGACTGGATTCCAGCCCAGCCTCCTCGCTGAGTGGAGACATTGGCGTGGCTCAAGGCTCAGCCCTGGGGTGTAACCCTCTGGATCCTAAGCCCTCTGTCCCTCTTGAGTTCCTATCCTGTGATTGCAGAACCTAACTGTAGCTGAGGGGATGGACTGCAGACCTGTGCCCCACCCTTACCCTCTGACCCCACACTCTGCCCTTTCTGGAAAGAACACTGACCAGGTCCCAACTCACTTTAGTGTCTCCGCTAGAAAGAAGCTCTGCTGCTTGTTGTCGTGGTTGGGAGAGCTACTGTACACATCTTGGATCCCAGAGAAGCCGGCTTCTGTCCGACAGTATTTCTCCAAGGCCTGAAGGAAAGGTAGGCAGCCTTAGCAGGGAGAGAAAAGACCCCCCAAGACATGTGCCCGCCTAGCAGGCCAGAGGTCAAAACCAGACAGGCCTCCTGACCTCACAGCTAGGGACCCTAGCATTTGTGGGAACAGAGGCCCAAACTGTCCCTTCCAGGCTCAGCCACCTGTCTCTCCACTCACCTCTGAGAACTTAGTATGGAGGGGGCAACTTCTTTGAGTGCTTCACCAGGCTGGGACTTAGAGGAGGCTTCTAAGTAGTGGACAGAACGGAGGAAGGCCCCTAGTGAGCCTGGGACTAGGGGAGTGGGCTCCACACCCTCAAGGATTCTCTGGAGCCACGGATCCTGGGCCCAAGGAATGTGGGCCACCAGCTGTCTGCCTTTTGCATAGAGATGCAGTTTTATTACCCACTAAGGCAGTGGTTCTCAACCTTCCTAATGTCTCCTAATGACCCTTTAATACAGTTCCTCATGTTGTGGGGACCCCCAACCATAAGATTATTTTTGTTGCTACTTCATAACTGTAATTTTGCTACTGTTACGAATCCTAATGTAAATATCTGATATGCAGGATATATTTTCATTGTTACAAAGGGGTTGCGACCCACAGGTTGAGAACCACTGCAGTAAGGGGTCTGGCACAGGAGTACAAACCCCTTGGCCTTTGAAGGGTAAGAACTGGGACCTCAGGGAGGTGGCAGACTGCTAACAGCCTCGCCGGTGAATCTGAGCAGCCCCTATGCCCTGTTGGGCTTGATACTCTTGGCGTGCGGCTCCCTGGGATAGCCTGTGTTTCCCAGAGCAGGAGGTGCCTTTGTCAGCCTCAGAATGTGCACAGAGCATGGAGCAAAGGCTCAGCATCTATCAAGGACCCTTCTAGAATCCCCACACCTGCCTTTGACACCTACCCCAAAGAGGGCCATGAGTTTTCTAGTGAAGTGTTGGGGGCTGAGGGGATGGTGGGCTGTGAGAGCTAGTACAGCCTGGGTTGGGGCACAGGGGCTCCTGAAGCTAGGCTGGCCACGGGAGGAGGAAGGAGGTGAGGGCAAGCTGCTGGCTAGAGAGAAATTCCAAGTGATCTGTCTAGGCCTCAAGTTGGGAAGGCATCTGGGGGTACTGTGGTGGCCACACGTTATTTTAGGCAGCTGCCCAGCTGTTGGCCCCCTCTGCCTGCTGAGTCCTGGGCTCAGGCTCCCAGACCATGGCACTCAGAACACTGCTCAGCTGGGACCTTTGGCTTTGCAACCACCACCTGACCCTTTGCACCCTGAACCTTACCCCAGAGGTCACCCTGGCTTCACCTTACTCTTCATACCCAAGCTAGTGGGGTTGGGCCCTGTCTGTGATTTCTCAGGGGACCTGGTTGCCCAGCCCCAGGGCCCACTCACCATCACTACTTCCCAGCCCCACTTCCTGTAGATGGGGTCATGGGTCTGCCGCCACAGGTACATGTAGCTCTCCACCACCTCGGGCCGGAGGATATAGTAGCTCTCGCTCAGTTGGGTGGCCACCGCCTCTCTGCCGGAGTTAAACCAGAAGGCCTCGGGACCCAGTTTCGTATCTGGGGGAAGAGCCAATCGGAAGGCCTGAGTCAGACCTTCCACCTCCTGCTTCAGAAGAGATTTCAATTGCCTGGACCCCTCGGCCAAGGTGTTGGTTAGCGGTGTGCTGGGATGGGGTAGAACCTACTGGCACTGCCCCGAGCTTATGCACAGCTTCCTCCTTGGCCTAGGCTGGCCAAGCAAGACTCTTGAGGCCTCAAGAATTTTGCAGTTTTGGGCTCTGAGAATGCAAATGAGCTACTGAGCAATCTGGGAAGACAAAAGTTTGGGCCGTGTTCCACAATTGTGTATTTTGAGACATTAGCTCTGCAAGAGGCTAGCCAGAACTCAGCCAAGAAAGGGTTTCAGGTTTAAACATGTGTGGGGAACAGTGAGATAAACAAAATGAAATGGTCTC